GAAAATTATTCCCTGTAATGGACAAGCCTTAGTCATTCCCATGGTTCTACTCTGGTTGCAACTGCTCTTGAATCTAGCCAACTGTGCCCAAAACCAACTGTGACACTACACAGATTTGAATTCAGTTGCTAGTTCTCATTCGGCATAGACCCATCTGAGTCAATAGGGTTTATGTAATTGCCCACTCGCTGTTCAGCTCTGCATTGAGTGGGTTTACTCTTCCTGGGACTGGTAACTGGATTTATGCCTTTCGAGTTTCCATGGAAGAGAAATGAGGTGACAAGCTAGGGGTTTCCAGAGGTCTTACATTTAAGTACTTTGTAGGGACCGAGTGGGAAGCTTCCCTCAAAATTCTTTAGAACACTCAATCGAGAGAGGTCTCCTTAAATTTAATATAAAAATTGCATCAGGGGAAAGTTGGCTGGTCCAATATGGGAACAGATCTTTGCTAACAAGGATGGTCTTGGTTCACGGAGCTGTCCAGCATCCTGGTGCTGAACTGTGTTTTCTTACAAGTGGTTGCTATAGCCAACCCCCATGTTTCCAACCTAATTGTTTCCCTAGTGATTCTTGTAAAGCAAGCTGGTGTAAGTTGATCCTTATTTTCCAATTAAGCTTAATGCCAGTACTCCAGCTGCTGAATAATTGGTATGCCTTACAAATGAGCCTACTGCTGCCTTCCCCCTCACGCCTTTTCTTGCTGGTTGCTCCTCTCTGACCTCCTCTCTCTTCTCCCTCCCTCCTCTGCTCTCACACTTGGGGTTGTGCAGGCAGCATTTTAGTGCACCAGCTCCAGTGGTTTTAAAAGTGAGCTTTGGATACGTTGGGGGGGGCATTAACTAACTCTGGAATGGTTTTAAAGACATAGGGGTGGTGATTGTAAAGCAAGGTGTTCTGTGTTTTAGTAAGCAGCCATGTAGGCAGAAAACCTGGTATTCTCAATGAGATTCTTCAGAGCTGTACAGAGGAGGGGCAGGATCTGTTCTCAATCATCCCAGAGTTCAGGACACTTAATAATGGGCTCAAGCGACAGGAAGCCAGATATTGGCTGAGTATCAGGAAAAACTTCCTAATTGTTAAAGCAGTATGTCAATGAAACCAATGACCTCAGAAGGTGGTGAGCACCCCAACACTGGAGAAAATTGGCCCACCATCTGTCAGATCTGCTTTGACATTGTATTCCTGCCTTGAGCAGGGGGTTGGGCTTGATGGCCGTCTAGGTCCCTTCCAACTCATTTATTCTATGATTCTGTGATTTTACACCTTTAATATTTGCAATGTCTGTTTTTAATGTCTGGTGCTTAGAAATGGGCAAACCACTAAGCTTTGAATGTTATCTCGATTGAATTAAAATAAAATTATCTCTTAGAGAAATTGCCTCTGCATAGGTTTTGTCAACCAGGTCAATGGATAGAAGAGTTAACAAAAAAAACAAGAACCAACCAAACAAACAAACAAATCAAAAAAATCCCTAAAGTTCAAAAATTATCAAAAATTGGTCTGGAAGTTACACTGGAATCAAAAAGCGAAGCAACCTAGTAAAATGAAGCAAGCAAATTTAATCACCTCTGTGTCGGCCCGTTTGGCTTCATTGCTAAATCCCTTCCAGCTTTATTGAGAGAGCATGACATGCACCATGCCGACATGGAAAAAATGCATCTATATAAAATAAATGTGGCATATCAAGAAGAGGGAGGTTCTTTTCGCCTTTATCTTTCCCTAAAATGATAATTTGCTTCATGCAGAGTGCTTTTCATATAAGGAACATTTTTTAAAAAATGATCTCAGTCCAGAAGTGTTGCAAGTTAGACTCTCCTCGCTTCATTCTGTTTAGTTAGCAAAACAGGATCCTTGCCTTCGAAATGCTTCTCACAATTCAGGAACTGTATCGCCAATGCTTGATCTGTGTTGGCCCTTAACACATGCAGTCGTCATTGCTCTCTGCAGCTACAAAATCCCAGATGTGACACTGACCGTAGAAAAATGAAGCCTTCTAGATAGTCCACCACCCTCTACCCTCACTGAGAAATGTGAGCCGGGAAGGGGAGTGCAAGTTAGGGCAGCTAAAGAAATGTGGGCTTTAGATTCCAGTAAAAACTGACCTTTTCCAGACTTTGTTGACGAATGTTTGGCTCTGAACTCGATTTAGCCATCCCCCCTTTTTTTCTTGTGTTCTCACTCTCAACAACAAGCTAACAACAAGCTTTCTTGTTTGACTTCTGGGGTCATCACAATGTATCAATAACCATAGAAAACATCTGTGGCACTGACACCCCATGCTTACACATAAATGGAAAGTGACATAACTTCCCTACTTCCTTAAGGCTAAGCACAGACATTCCTTAATGCTTCGCACAGACATTTGTTGCTGCCAAAGCAAAATTTGCTGCTTGATAGGTAGAGGTTCCATCCTTGCCCACAAGCAGTACACACAATTGAGCCAGTTGTGTGTGTTTGTTTGTGTATGTATGTGTTTGTCACACAAAGGTCTAAAAATGCCAGGAAGAAATTGACTTCTGGGATGCTCATATAAAGACCAACTTAATAAATAATGGGAAACGTTGTTGACCTCTCCTGATCCACAAATACAGAATATTTGAGGGAATGGGACATGATCGTATCTCCCCTCCAAAACGGCACACACTGAAAATGCAGAGCTGTGATTGCTTTTCTTAAAGAGCCCACTGTCAGATTGACAAAATAATTCTCCAAACCAAATGATGTTTCGTGCAGGAGGGAAGGAACAAGAACGGAACCTTTGTGAGATGGTACAGTGGGGTCTTGACTTGAGAACTTAATCCGTATTGGAAGGCGGTTCTCAAGTCAAAAAGTCTGTAAGTCAAGTCTCCATTGACCTACAGTGCATTGAAAACCGATTAATCCCGTAACAGGCCATTTTTGTTCCATTTTGGGTTTTTTTCTGGTCTGTAAATCAAATCTCAGTCTGCAAGTCAAACCTAAATTTTGCGGCCAGAGAAGTCTGTAACTCAAAAAGTCTGTAAGTCAAGCCATCTGCAAGTCAAGGGTCCACTGTACATAAATCCAGCCCCATTAAAAAACCAGATTTTTCTTTCTATAATCAGCTGTTTAACTGTGTTAGAGGCAAAGGCGGGCAAGGTCTTTGTATCCACCCTTTAGCTCTGTAAAATGGGTCTAACTGAGTTTACCCGAGATGGATTTGGGAGTTGCCTTTCGTTGCAATTCTTCGGAAGGCGAGAACCACAATCCTCATCTCAAATTAAAAAGGATCAGAATACGTTCAAACACTTTTAAAATGCAAAATGCCATAAAAATGCATGTTGTGGGGTGGGCGAAATAGAATTTTGAAACATAATGAACTGCAAATTAAAAATAAATTAATCCCAGATTTTAGAGACACTCGCTAGAACCAACCCACGGCGCAGGGCTGTGGGGCAGAACAGATGTGGCAAAGGAGTGGATCCGATACAGTCTGTTCCTTATATCTTTAGTCAACCAAATTCTGTACTTTAAAGCCAATTTGCAAAATGAGTCATAGTCATCTGTTGTAGTTAGCATTCCTTTGAATTACATCTTCTCTCGACATTTTATTTATTTTTCTCTTTTTCTTTGTTCATGCCAAAAAAAAAAAAAAAGAAAAACCCACACCTACAGAAAAAAAACCCACTTCTGATGTTTATGAACTACCCGTGGTGATGAAAAGCAATAAAATGTAATTCAATTACAAACTGTTATAAAAGCAGATAAATTATTTAAGTGGAACATTACATAAAACATTACATAAGCACCTGCCTGCCTACACAGAGTCTTTGCCATATAGTGAAAAAGCAAAGCGGATGCCAGTGTAACCCCTTTCAGAGGTTGGGTGTGCCCGTTGAAATGGCCCATTCTCCTGGTCTCATTGACCATGCCTTCACCCCACAGAGATCGCTGAGACCAAGGGACTGTAGCTAACCCAAAGTCAAGTTTTGTGACTGGGTGTAGATTTGAACTCAAGTCTCCGGACACACACCCCATCTACCGAGTACCATTCTCACTGCCGTATTCTGTGCCAAGAGCAATTTCAGAAGACTCTTCAAAGATAGCACCATGTAGAGATCATTGTTGCTGTGTGCCATCAAGACAGCTCCAACCTACGGTGACCCAATGAATGGGTGACCTCCATCGTGTTCAGTCCTCTACATCCCTACTCAGGTCTATGAAACTCCTGTCTTTGGTATCCTTACAGGAGTCAATCCAGCTTGTATTTGGTATTCTTCTTTTCCTAGTGTGTCCAACTTTTCCCAGCATTACCGTCTTTGCCATCAAATCTTCTCTTCTCATGATGCCCCCAAAGTATGACCATCTCAGTTTCAACAATTTTTTTTGCTTCCAGGGAGAGTTCAGGCTTGATTTGATCTAGGACCCACTTGTTCTTCTTTCTGGCAGTCCAGGATATCCACAAAACTCTCCTCTAGCACCACCTTTCAAAGGAATGCCGCTCTTGGGTGCACATCATGTAGAGGAGATTACAATAATCCAGTGTAGATGTAATTTACACATGTATCAGGAATCAATGCAGTTCAAAGCTGTCCAAAGATACTCTTTAAACACAGTCAGCAGCTGAGCAGCCAGGTACAAGCTGAATCCGGCAACAACTTCATCCAGAGTACAAGCTCCTTTTTTCAAAAAAGCGTGCCTTCCTGTTCAGGATGGTCTGCGTTCTTATGTATTGTGTCCTACATAGGAAGGGTCTCCCAAAGTACATTTCATTAAGGGACATTGGTAGTTTAACTGCAAGTGGAAGCACATAGATGACAACCCATGTCTATGCAACTGTTTACCGACTGTTGTGCAAGACGTTGAAACAGAGGAAATGGGGCAAACCAAACTGAAGGCCCCGGGGAACTGGGACATGGACCCTGATTCTTATGGTAGGTCATTGAGCCCAGTTTCTACTTGCAAGTGGCCGGTCTGTCCGTCCTGCTGAACTGATTTCCCCCTCCATCTTTGTGTGTGCATCTCTCCCCCCTCCCCCACAGGAGACCCTGCGGCAGAAGAATGGTCCCAGTGGAGTGTCTGCTCCCTGACCTGCGGGCAGGGTACCCAGGTGCGGACTCGATCCTGCGTCTCATCGCCTTACGGGACACTGTGTAGCGGGTTGTTGCGGGAGACACGGATATGCAATAATACTGCCACCTGCCCAGGTAGATGGGAGAAGGGGGGAGGGCTTGGTACTCTTCCTCCTCCCCCTGCTCCTCCTTCTTCCTGCTCTTCTTCTTCTCCTCCTCCTCCTTCCTCCTCCTCCTGCTCCTCCTTCTTCCTACTCTTCTTCTTCTCCTCCTCCTCCTTCCTCCTCCTCCTGCTCCTCCTTCTTCCTGCTCTTCTCCTTCTTCCTCCTCCTCTCCTCCTCCTCCTTCTCCTTCCTCCTCCTCCTCTCCTCCTCCTTGCTCCTCCTTCTTCCTGCTCTCCTCCTTCTTCTCCTTCCTCCTCCTCTTCTCCTCCTCTTCCTCCTTCCTGTTCTCCTCCTCCTCCTTCTTCCTCCTTCTCTCTTTTGCCTCCTTTTGAGTGGTGTTCCTCCTCCTCCTTCTTCCTCCTCTTCTCCTCCTTCCTCCTCTCTCACTCGCTCTCTCCATTCTCCTCTCTCCCCTTGTACCTCTCTACCTAGAGGACTACAGGAAAAAGGAGAGACCTGTCCTACCATTGTTAAGGACTGCTCATTTATAGAGGGCTCTCAGAATCAGGGCCAGGTACAACTTTAAGGCAGTGTAACTCCTCCTTCCTCTCCTCCTCCTCTTTTTCAGTGTTGGGTGTTTTGGGTTGTTTTCATGGGAGATGCCTGTCCGTTGTCTTTTTTTTCTTTCTTTCTTTTTTTCTTTTTTGTTAGTGGTCCTGAAAACTTCATTGTGTCTTTCATGGTTTTCAAAGGCAAATCATTTCATACTCTTAGAAGGAGAAAGCCCACCCCTAATGATCTGGGTCAGCTCTGGTTTGGGACATTTTTTCCTTTTGAGTGGTGTTCTGTTTGTTTCTCTCCAGTTCTAAGCCTAAGAATACTGAGTCACCCATTCATTCTGCTGCTGCTTCTCCTCTCTCTTTCTCCATCCTTCCCAGAATGACTGAGTCCTGGTTCATGAAGGGAAGCAAGTTAATAGATCTAATTTTTTATAATGACGCTTCCGCTATAACCCGTAAGGGCCATGAAGAATTAATGAAATAAAAGTAACAGGAATGGTTAGCAGTAAATTTGCAACATGTTTTTAATGTGCCATATTTAATTAAAGAGTATTTTACTCTTTGCACACCAGGCCTTTTGCCTAAATGGGGTCTGCCACCATCATTTAAAAACTGGGCAAAAAAAGAATTGTATTTCCCCCCCCCCCTTTTCTAGCCTGTTAAGAGCTGCTAATGGTTGTGCATTTAACTTAGCCCTATTTTGCTGTTGCTCTTTGCTTGAATTCGTTCTTTGTCATGTCACTTTGCATTCTTCGCTTTAATAATAACAGCGATGATAATAATATTTTCATGCCCTCTATTTCTTTGTAAGCTGGCTGGGAAAAACTTGTTTATTTTGAAAATGTGGGAGAATATATTCTGTCATGCATAAATCCTTAAGGTGTGTAGGCCCAGTCCCCTTAAATGGGGGTTTTGGACCCTGTGAATCGGTTCTGGGGGGAGCCACTGAATATGGGAGGCCAAATAATATGTTTTGCTGAAGATCTGTGTCTGCCTCTCTCGGTATATATACATATTGACGTATAGCCCAGAGCTGTTCATGTTTATTCAGCTGTGTGTCCCATTCTGTTCAGTGGGCTTGCTACCAGGCCATGGGCTTTGGGCTGCAACCTTAAACCTGGTAGAGAGACCAGGAGAATTGAAATGTGCCATGGGTGGGCATCACTCGATGGGATCCTTTTAGCAAATAGTAGGCATCCTTCAGTCTCGAGAGATGATGGGAACGTGCTCTGTACGGTGGTCTTGGGACAGCGTCTAGTGTGGCTGAGAAGGCCAATTCGAGAGTGACCATCCCTTCCACACTGAAGACAAATACAATCTGTCCCCTGTCCAGCTCTCTGATTTTGCTGGTTTTGGGACTGCCTCTTGAACTCGGCCTGCTGAACAAGGGTCTCTTCAAATTGGGAGAGGCCGTGCTGCAACGCCTGCCTCCAGGTTGAACGCTCAGATGTCAGGGCTTCCCATCTCTTGAGGTCCATTCCTAGGGCTTTCCGATCCCGCTTTAAGCAAATAAGTCTGTGGATAGCAGCTGATAGTCCTTGATGCCATGCCAGGCTGAGGTGTGCTGGTCTCCTCCTGCTTCCTTCTTTTCCTTCCCCTCAAGTGCCCTCTCACACAAAGGCCTGGAAATGTGGAGCAGAGAAATCCAGGTGGGGGTCCCAGATCATTTGCTTTTACTGAGGAGGCCAGCTAGAATGGGTGGCCCATTGTAGCTTGGAACCTGGAGTGGTGTGGGGTCTAATTTTCACACAGAGACCAGCCGCCACTGACTTTTTGTCTCATCTATTGGGGCTTTTCCTGTTTCTCTTGTTGTACTGGGGGAGGATATGCTTTTTTAACCTGTTCCTCTTTTAAATCTGCTCTCCCTTCTGCTTCGGGGGAAAAATCAAGCTAAAGGTTAGCAGGAGGAACAGCTTGAGACTCTGAGAAATACAGTGAGTGCAAGAGTTAAGAGACGGCTCCTTGCAAACCCTTTCTGTTTTATTCTACAGAAAAACGTACCCAACAATGATGCTTGAGTATAAAATGCCCTTGGCTATGAAACAGGGAAGCTCGATTTATTTCCAGCTGCAAATCTTGTGCACACTTCCCGGAATGCATTTCTATCATCCTCTCCATGCAGCTTGCTTCTGTTCAGAGTAGACATGAGTAGCATTGTGATATTAGCACTCCATGTGTGTTTTTAGAACACTGTTCCCATGATCCCCTACTTCTGACTTTGCTGACTATGGCTGATGGGAGATGTAGCCCAATAATATTCAGCATCTGTACTGCTTTATCAATGTCCTCATCTCTCTGTGAGAAGAGCTGCGAATGTTGTGAAATCTTACCATGTTCAGGAAGCTCTTTCCAGACTAATAAAATTGGCTTGCACCGGGTGCAAAACATCTCAAATGTCTATCATGCAGAATAAGACAAAGAAATGTCTTTTTTTTCCCCCTCTCTCTTTGAAAAGCCACCAGTTATTCAGATCTCTCTCACACACCAGTTCCCGAATACTTTGAAGGCAAAGAGATAAGAACTAAGAACCCAAACGAACCTTAAGATCCATTTAGTGGCAAAGCTGGAGAGTAGTTTCAGAAGATGCAGGAAAAGGCTTTCTGCCATCTTTATGAAAGATCAAATGAAAAACCTCATTGCTCCTGTGTTTCCCTATTCAGTACTGTAAAACAATGGAGTAAAAACATCCAGAAATGGTTGTGAATCGATTTGTATTCCCAGAAAATTAAATGTAGATGGGGTTAGACCCAACAACGGTTGAGTTGATCTCGGAAATGATCACATTGAGAAAGGACCCACAGGGCGTGGTTCGGTCAATCTAGTACCATACAGTGAGAGTGGCTGCCTAAAGGAAAGTGGCAGAAAAGTCCTTCCCACCATCTGTGGAAAATCTAACTGTGGGGGGCGCTTTGCAATTCATGTGTTCATGCTCATTCAAATAAACACAGGCTATGCGTGACGCAGTTATGCAGATCAAGATAATTGTTGCCCGTTGCACGCGCAATTGGCTTAATTGTACAATAATCTAGTCTTGTCACGGAAGTGAAGGAAGTTCCATTTTCTGCTACATTTCTTGTTGTCATGCTTTGTCCCACTATATTAGAAAAAGAGATCATTTTGCCATTTTTTTAAAAAGCCACAATATATATATTTTTTGTGAATCTTGCAGTACTGTTATCCCTGAGACATCATTTCGACATTTTTTAAAAAAGCCACAATATTTTTGGGGGGTGAATCTTGCAGTACTGTTATCCCTGAGAGACAAGAAGACTGTGGGTGTGGTTATGATTATATTTCTTTTTCTTTAAAAAGGGTGCGTTCAAACTGCATTACGGCCATTTTTAAGATAATTGTTTATTTAATTGAAATATCCTGTGGTTATGTATTCCTCATCCACTCAAAGATGGACTGACCAAAAACAAATATTCACAGGGGCATTGGGGGGGTACATGGGAGACAGTATTTTCTGTCACTGCTCCCAGACTCTGGAACTCCCTGCCACTGGAGCCCAGGCTGGCCCCACCTTTGCTGCTCTTCTGCAAACAGTCCAAGACCTTTCTCTTCAGACAAACTTTCCTTCCAATGACTGGCTGCCTAACTGGGGGTTCTTAAATGGATGGTTCTGCCTTATTGCTTTGAATATGTTTTGATGTTGCTTCTGGTTATCTTCTTTTAGTGTGGTCTTTGTTTGATCCTTTCCTCAACAATGTTCATTGTATGTGGTCTTTGATCCTTTCCTCAACAATGTTCATTGTTCTTAGCTTTAAATATTGTCTTTTAAAGATGTAAGCCACCCTGGGCTATTTTAAGGAGAAAAGTGGGTTAAAATATTTTAAAATATATAAATAACCATTCCTAAACAGGAGGATGGGCATCCTAAAAGCTCTTGTGTCTAGGATTCGCTCTTCTATGTCTGTAGATTTTGGTAGCTAAGAGAGAGAGAATGGGAGGTATTTTAGTGTTCAATATTGGGATTACCACAGCTATCTTGAAATGGAAAAGGTAGCAGTTTGACTTCTAGGAATGGAAGAGAAGCTACCATAAAATTGTCTTGTTGGTTTGGTTGATGGCCTAGATAGCTTAGCATTCTGCTTTTGTTGCTGCTGTCATTATATTCTATCAAGATGCCTCCAACTTTTGGTGACCCTACCAAAGTATTCAAGCTAAGTGAGATGTTCATAGAACCATAGAATCATAGAATAGTTGAGTTGGAAGGGGCCCATGAGATGGTCAAGTCCAACCCCCTGCTCACCTCAGAAATCCAAATCCAAGTATACCTGACAGATGGATGACCAGTTTTCTCATGAATGCCTCCAGCGTTGAAGCACTCACCACCTCCTGAGGTCTTTGGTTCCATTGTTGTACAGCTCTAACAGTTAAGAAGTTTTCCCTGATAATCAAGTGAAATCTGGCTTCTTGTAGCTTGAGCTTCTTGTAGCTTGAGCCCATTATCATGTGTTCTGAACTCTGG